TGAGCTCTCAGCTCTGGAGCTTCGTGGTTTTCCTGCAGCTCTTCCCATTTTTCTCTTCTCCAGGTGAAGGTCCTGGGCCGTGACATGCCCGGGGAGCCTCGGCAGGGCAGCTCCTGGCAGAGGGTGTCCTTGGTCACAGCAGCTTCTGTGACCAAATACTCTGGAGCAGCCCAAGAGCTGGGTGGGAGGTAGGAGCTCTGGGAGTGAGGGGTTTTCATGGCACTGTGGAATGGTTTGGAAGGCTGTGCCTGAGTGCTGGTGGAGCACACATTGGGCACCAAAGAGGACTGCTGTGGTTTAAGCCCATCCAACAACTAAGGAGCACACAGCTGCTCCCTCCCATCATCCCCACCCCTGTGATGGGAGAGGAGAATCAGGAGGAGGTAAAACTGGTGGGCTGAGATAAGAACAGTTTAATAATTGAAATAAAGTAAAATATAATAACAGTAATAATAACAATAGTAACAGCAATAACGGGAATGAAAAAGAAAAGTACTGAGAGGGATAAATGCCATGAAAAACCAGTGATGCACAAGGGAACTGCTCAGCACCCACTGACCGATGCCCAGCCCATCCCCGGGAGGCACCTCCCAGTCAACTCCCCCAGTTCATGTACTGGGCATGACGTTCTGGGCTCTGGAATATCCCTCTGGCCCATTCAGGTCACCTGTCCTGGCCGTGCTCCCTCCTGGTTTCTTGTGCAGCTCCTCCCGGGCAGATCATGGGCAACTGAAAGGTCCTTGACTTGGGGTGAGCACGACTGAGGCTCGGCTGGGTCATCAATGTTATTCTCCTCCTAAATTCACACCAGGCAGGCTCGTCCCTGGCTCTCATAAAGCCCAGCAAAGGCCTTGGGGTGGATCATAGGGGAGCAGCAGGGCTCAGCCCTTGTTCCAGCAAACCCAGGGAAGGCAAAGGCTTGGCAGTTCACAGCCTCCTGTCTCTCTTGGCTGCCCCCCCAGATCTTCTCAACTGCCTCCTCTTCTCTAGTCCTGTGCCCACCCCATAGATTTTGCTCCTCTATTCCCTTGCATTGCAGAGTGAACCCTGAGTAAAGGACCTGGGAGAGAAGAAGCATGGCAGGCATTGGAACAGTTGGTAAGAGTTGTGTTTCTTCTGTTTAGACAGTGACAGAAGGGGAAATAAGTGATTTTAAAAACCCCAAGTACATCAGAGGTTTGAATAGTATAAGGGATATGTGTCCCAAAAAAGCTCCTTCATGCATTCTTGAAATCTGGAGGGAAAAGTCCTAGTGAAGTTTCCTTTTTTTCTTTTTCTTTCTGTTTGAACCCAGTGGGCAGAAATGGAGAGCTGGTGGCAGAGTGTCCTAAGAGAAGTATTTGGGTTGATAAGCTGGTGTGCTGGATCCCATTCCTCTTGCCTGTGGTCATCTGAAAGTCTTTGAGAAGACAGGCCCAAATGAAAAGGCCAAGGGACAATGAAGGGCCCTGGGAGGTCCCTCTCCACTCGTGCAGTGTGGAGGAGGAGTGTCTCACACTTTGGGGTGTCTCTGTTCTGGTGGGACTGTGCTGAGGCACCTGTGTGGTGCCCGAATGCTGTGGCAGCCGAGGCAGGTTCTTGGCCAGGAGAGCCTGAGTGGCCTCGAAGGTCAGAGCCCCCCCAGCGCTGCTGTCGGGCTCTGGTGCACAGGACCTTGTGGTTCCAGGGCCAGCTGGATGGTGTGTTCTGCCCCAGAACCTGCTCAATGCATTCCAGGAGTTCCTCAGGGAAAGCTCCTCCTTAAAAATCCTCTTTTTCTCTTTGATTTATTTCCATGTGACCCTGATGCCCAGCTGCTGCGGTTGGTGTGAAGCTGGTTGAGAAACTCATAGACGAGGCATTCGAGCAAGGAAGTGAGTGCTGATCCCATTCCTCCTGTCTGTGCTCATCCTTGGGAACCTCTGGGATGTGAGGTGTTATCCCTGAGAGAAGCAAAGCCAGTCAAGGTTTGAGCACATTACCTACAGAACCCCTTCAGTGCACAGCAGGAGGCCTTTGGGGTGGGGTGACTTTGGTCAGAGGGACGTCCCTCTCTGACCAGAGACACGTCCTGCTCTAGCAGAGGGTATCCCTGGCAATTGGTAAGGATTGAAAGGCATAACACAGCACTTCTGGGATTTCCTTTCCTTCCCTTGACCACTAAAGGAGGAATCTCCTCCTGGGCTTTCCTCCAGGCCCAAAAGGGAGAAGCCTTTGTGTGCAGGTGAGGGCCAGGACTTGCCCAGGCTACCTGGAAACTAAACCCTGCCGAACAAAGAGAAGAGACAAAGGCCTGTTGTGCATGAGGGCCCAGCACAGTGAGGTCAAATAGTCCCATCTGTCCATAAATTCCCACTTCCAAGGGCCTCCAGAAGTGCTTTGCTGTATTTCCCACCCCCGTGCAGGTGTCCAGGCCCCCAGGGTGCAGAGCTGCCCCGGCAGTGGCTTTGCCCAGCACAGCCTGGGCTCTGCTGGCTCCCATCCTGCCCAGGTTCTAAGGCAGCTCTTTGTCTGTCCCTGCTCTTGGCAGCTGGCATGGGGCAGGGCAATGTTCTTCCCTCAAGGAACACCTGGAAATCAGCAGGGCCTGGGCTCTCCCCCGGGGCCAGGCCCTTGGGGAGTGAGGGGGCAGGGGGCTTCCTGTCAGTGCTCCTCCCCAGCAGCACAGGAGCTCCAAGCCCATGGTTCTGAGGGCTCACAGTGGTGCTGAGACTCCTTTCCAGAGACAAAACCTGGAAAACAGGCTCCATGTCCCAAGGAAGACTGGAGCTCCAGGAGAGAGACCAAGGCTCCTTCCTGGAGCAAAATCCTGGTGGGAAAGGATTTGAAAGATGGGCAAGAGATCACTGATGGTGCCCACAGTGCATCAGCTTGGGAATTCCCCAGCCCTGTTTTTCTGGAATTAGTGAGTTGTTTTCCAAGGCTGTTGAATTAGGAAGGATTCTCTAAAGAAAAAGAAGTGTGGAGCACACAAATTAGTAAACAGGCTGGACATGAGGGACCTGAGTGTGCGTTTCTTGTTCCTTCCCTGCCTAAAGAAATAAGGCAATTAAGCCCATTTCAGGTTGCACCTTGAGTGCAAGGTTTAATTCCTCTGAGGTGAGTATTTCTCAGGAGGAGAGAGGAGTTAAAAAGACAACCTGCAGGAAGGCCTGAGAAGAGACCCTGAAGGAGAGACTTGACAACAGAGGATTTGAGCATTCTTAGGGCAGATGGGTGGTCTCCCTTTCAAGGGAGCAGTGTCAGTCTGCCACTGACACCTGTCTATTTTCACAGAAAAAGGACGGGAGGCAGAGGCCACAAAGCCTCAGGAATCTTGGATGAAGGAGGACTTCCAGGAGCTCATCCAACAAGTGAAAGCTATGCGTGAAGATCTCCAGAAAGGGCAGGAATCCAGTAAGTGTGATATTCAGCTGCTCATAGAAGGCCTGAAGAAGGAACAGGGTGAGCAGGGCCATTCCCAAGCACTTCCATCTCTCTGAACACCAAAGCTGCTCTACAGGCAAACCACTCTGAGAGCTCGTCCTGCACAGCTCCTCAAAGGGGCAGGAGAAGGACAGCCCTGACATGGGGCACAGCTTTTGTGCTGCCTGACCTTGAAACAGCTCCCTGCTGAAGTGTTCTCTGCAGGTGGTCATGGCCACACTTGTCTCCCTCATCTCTGCAGAGAGTGTGTGCTGTGAGTTCTCTGATCCCCTGATCCTTGTTAAGGTTCCCCCCTTGCAGTCCTGTCAGCGTCTCTCTCCCTTTCCCCACTCCCCTTCTCCCACTCCCCACTCCTGGGGCCGTCTTGGGGCACATGTGATCCCAACCTTGTCTTCCTGTTGAAGATCCACAAGGAGACCCAGCTCCATGAGCACTGCAGGTGTCTCTGAGCACAGGGGCCTGTGCAGAACAGCTCTCCCTGAAGAGCTGGTGCTGGGAAGGGAAGGAGTCAGCTGGGGCACAGACACCCCAGTGGGCCTGCTGAGCCCCAGATGGTGCTCCTGGGCCTGGCTCAGGCAGGACACAGTGTGTGTTGGGGCACAGCCTGTTGCACCCCGGGCAGGGAAAGGGGAGACAAGATGGGCCTCACCTGCCTGGGGGTCCTGTTCTTGCTGCAGGAGCAAATCTCTGGCAGTGAGCAGCCCAGAACAGTCCAGGGCAACCCCTTGACTTCCTGATGGCTCAGGGCACTGTGGCCTTAGGATGAAGCCTGTGGTCCCCTTTTCAAAGCTGAAACCATATTTAATTGAGCTACAGAAAGCACCAATGAGAGGCTGAAAAGGGAGGAAAATGTGCTCCGAGTTTCTTGTTCCCTCCCTGCTAAAGGACAGAGGGCAAAGGGAAAACCATTTCCAGATTGTACCTCCATCACAAAATTGAATTCCTGTGAGCTGAGGATTTCGAGGGGGAGTGAGGAAGGAAAATATACACCCAGAGGAGAGCCCTGAGAAGAGACCCTCTGGCAGGGAGCTTAAATCAGAGCCTTTGGGCATCCTTGTGTCAGAGAGCTGGTCTGCCTCTCAAGGAGGAAGCATCAGTGTTATGGTTCCAAAGCCAGGGCGTGGAGCTTTGTGATGAATATTCACCCCATCCCCTCATCCTGGAGGGTGGGTCTTTGAGAACCTGTTTGCTATGGTTTGGTTTAATTTGTTTCTTTTCCCCTGCATGGTCCAGATGGCAGGGGAGTCTCCCAATGTTTTGGCTTTGCTTGTGGCAACCATGTGGTAGCTGCCATTTGGGGCTTTTCTGTCCCGGGGTAGGGGGACTAGGAAACGATTTCTGCCTTTTCAGCTTAAACCATTTTCCCTTGGTTCTTTGGAGTTCCTGCTATTTCCTTTTTAAATTGTTATTTTTGTACTTTTATCTCTTCATTATATGGAGAGGACATATTATATTATGTCCCTTCATTATTGGAGAGGAGTAGGGAGAGGTTGAAACAAAAGGGGAGTGACTTGTTTACAATCTCAATCCACCAGTAACTGTGCAAAGCCATCACAGTCAGTGACCCAGGATCATTGTTCTGCCTTCACAGACAGGAAAATGAAGAAAATGATGAGGGCCCAGGAATCCAAGATGGACAAGAAATTTCAGCAGCTCTGCCAAAGAATTGGAACTCTGGAACAAGAATTCTACGGGAGGCAGGGGTCCAAACAGCACATCCTTCAGCTCTTCAGAGCAAAAATGGAGATAGAACAAGGTGAGCAGGGCCATTCCCAAGCACTTCCATCTCTCTGGATGCCAAAGCTGCTCTACAGGCAAACCACCCTGTGAGTTTGTCCTGCACAGCTCCTCAAAGGGGATGGAGAAGGACAGCCCTGACATGGGGAGAGGCCCAGAGAAGCTGCCTTCAGTCCTGGGAATCACCACCACAATCCATCCCGTGACTAAAGGCCACTTGTCTGGGCCTCTGCCCACGGGGAACAAACAGCTTTTGTGATCCGTGACACTGAAACAGCTCCATGCTGAAGTGTTCCCTGCAGGGGGTCAAGGCCCCTCTTCTCTCCCTTGTCTTTGAGGGCAGTGAGGACAGCTCTGACCCGATGGGTGCTAAAGGTGTCCACTGCCAGTCCTCCCACGCACTCACCTTCCTCATGACGGAGGGTTGTCTCCCATGGCCCACGGATGCTGTCTGCAGACGTGGAGGGGGATGATCCCTACCCCCCATCCTGCCCCCCAGGCCTTTGCCAAGGCCTCAGGAAGGCTCACAGGGCCTGGGCTCTTTCCCCAGCCCTGCTGCACTCAACCCATCCAAGCAATTCAAGGAACCTGGTCAGGAATAAGGGCAGGCACCAGTCCAGGCTCAGGGCTGACCCTCTGGCAAGTAGCTGTGCAGAGAAGGCCCTGGGGGTTCTGGTGGACAGAGAGCTGGCCAAGGGTCAGCAATGGCCAAGAAGGCCCAAGGCTGCCTGGGCTGCCTTCGGAAGAGCTTTGCCAGCAGGCCAAGGGAGGAGCAGCCCTGGTGAGGCCCATCTGGAGTGCTGTGTCCAGTGCTGGGTTCCTCAGTACAAGGGAAACATGGAGCTCCTGCAGCGGGTCCAGCTGAGGCTGCAGAGATGATCAGGGGCTGGAGAGGCTGAGGGAGCTGGGCCTGTTTAGTCTGGAGAAGAGAAGTCTGAGAGGGGATGTCATCAGTGGACACAAGTGTTTGAAGGGTCAGGAGGATGGAGCCAGGCTCTTCTGGGTGGTGCTGAGTGACAGGATGGGAGGCAATGGGCAGAAAGGGAAACAAAGCAATTTCCACCTGAACACGAGGAAGAACTTCATTACTGTGAGGGTGACTCAGCACTGGGACCAGTTCCTAGAGAGATTGTGGAGATATCTTTGGAGATATTCAAAATCCCCTGGAGGAGGTTCTGACCACCCAGCTCCAGGTGTCCCATCTGGGTTGGACCAGATGATCTCTGGAGGTCCCTTGCAACCTCTCCTTGTCTGTGTTTCTGTGATTCTGTACAGGGCACGAGACATCTGAAAACACAGCTTTCAGAACCTACCAAGACAGATGTAGCTGGATCTCTACCCAATTCCTGTGTGGGTTTAATTTTCACTTCCTCTTGGCTCTTTAATCTTTTGCAGGTGTGCTGATAGAAAGTGCATCAGAAGACGAGGCCATGATACAGATGCGTAGACAACTCCTGAGATGGTGAAGCATTGATCAACAAAATTAAAGTCTGGCTCTCATTACATTTCTCTTGAGCTTGGCCCCCCACCCCCTGCACTCCCTGGGCTTGCTGTGTTGGGAAGTGCTCGTGCTGCCGGAAGACTGAGATAATTGTTAGGGCTTTTCTCCCTCCTGTGAGCTGGTTCCTGCTGTGCCAGGGCAGATCCATCCACTGCCTGGTTTCAAACAAGTGAAAGCAACAGCAGCCAAAGTGCAACCCAGAGCAGAGCTGAATTACCCAGCGAGCTCTACACAAAATCTCAGGCAGAGTCCTGGGAATCCTGGATTTTAAGTGTTTTAACATTTTGTGTGTGTGAAGAATCTGGGATGTACAGCAGTGGGGGAACCATTTCACCTGGAGAATGAAGTGTTCAGTTGCAATCCTGATTTTTCTGTGACATGTTTACTACACTCGCATTACCTGTCTTCTTTCCCGTTTCTGTTTTTAGTTAATGTGCACAGCACAAGTGTAGAATTAGCATGTTCCTCCTGAGGCCGGGGCAACACCTGTCTTCCAAGGGTGCCTGTGCCCTGCGCAGGCAGAGGAGTTCCCTTAGAGTAAGAGAACCACCACTGTGCCCCGCTAGTTGGGCACCATCTGTCACAGTCGCAGGGGAGAGAAGCCGCGACAGCCGGGGGTTCGTGCAGAGTGGTAGCTCGAAGCTATTGCAGCCTTATTAGGGTGTGCCACCCCTATTTATAGGGCGGCAGGAGAAGGTTCCAGAAACCAGGGAGGAGCATAGGACAGGCAGGGACATGGACCAGTCAGAAGGGAAAGGAGGGAATAAGGGAGAAATAGGAGCCAATAAGGAAAACATCTGCAATGCAGCAGATTGCAGCCAGTCAGAAAATAGGTAATAAACATGAGGAGAAAACTGTGAAAACATTTGGCATAAACTGAGGTACAATACATTCGTAACTTTTGTTAACAATCCTGTTCAGTCCTAGTCTGTAAAACAGTCTCAGTCTTCATAACTGGACACTGAATGCCCAGAATCCACGTCCTCCTCTGTCGCCTCTTCAGCTCTGGTCTCTCGCAGCTGCCTTCTCCACCTCGCAAACTTCTCCCTTTCCTCCTCCATGCTCCCCGCATCACCCCCTTCTTGTTTTCTATGATGATATTAGCTGAGACACTCCTTAATAACAAATTTTGAATGCAGATAATTATGCAAGGAACAAATGTCAAAATTGAAATAAAAGTAAATAAAGAAACAACAGCTATGGTTATCATCTTGTTCATCCAACTGGGTAAGCAGCAGCAGCGGGGGGGCCAAGGTCACCCCCTCTGCATTCTGTCTGGCCATCCCGGTCCAGCTTCTAAGGGATCAAAAGGTAAGGAAGGGGTCAATAAACTTCTACCTTAGACCTCTGGAGGGTGGACTTTGGCCTGTTCAGGACACTGAAATGATTGAGACAGTGTCCTGGAAAACAGTCCTTAATAACAAAGAGGTCCAGGAAGGCTGGACATACTCTAAGAAGGAAATCTTGAAGGCCCAGGAGCAGCCTGTCCATGTGTGCTGCAAGATGAGCCAGCAGGGAAGACAACTGGCCTGGCTGAGCAGGGAACTTTTCTGGGACTGGGGGAATAAAAAGGGTTTATGACCTTTGGAAGAAGGGGCAGGCAGCTCAGGAAGAGTACAAGGATGTTGTTAGGCCATGTAGAGAGAAAATTAGAAAGGTAAAAGCTCAGCTAGAACTCAATCTGGCTACTTCTGTAAAGGGTAATAGAAAGGGTTTATATAATACATCATCAACAAAAGGAGGGCACAGGAAAATCTCCATCCTTTATTGGACACCAGGGGAAACACTGTCACCAAGGATGAGGAAAAGGCCAAGGCATTTAATGCCTTCTTTGCCTCAGTCTTTAACAGAAAGGCCTGTTATCCTCAGGACAACCAGCCCCCTGAGCTGGTAGACAAGGACAGGGAGCAGAATGGACCCTCTGTAATCCAGGAGGAAGCAGCTGGTGATCTGCTGAGCCACTGAGACACTCCCAAGTCTATGGGACCAGAAGGGATTCATCCAAGGGTGCTGAGGGAGCTGGAGGGAGAGCTCAGCAGAAACCCTCCACCATTTACCATCAGTCCTGGCTCACTAGGGAGGACCCGATGAGTGGAGGTGCTCATGTGATGCCCATCCACAAGAAGGGCCAGAAGGAGGATTGAAACAGGAGCCAGGCCTAGAAGAGTTAACTGAGATATCTTGGCCTGCTAAGAAACCCCTGTTTTACTGGAAGAACATTTTTGGAGCACTGGTTAATCTCATGTTCTGCTCTGGTCACTGGACCTTATTATAGAAAGAATAGGAGTAGTACACACACAGTAATAAATTAGGTAACCTGGATGTTTGAATAAGATCTAGAAGGCCCAGAGCCAGGATTTTGCAAGCTTGAAGAATTCAGGTCACCTGACTGAAGAGGTCAAATTGAGGAAGACGTCCATGGCGACCACCAGAGGGATGAAGGCTTGAGGAGAAGCCCCCCACAGTAGAAGACTGGGCATGTCTGGAAAGACTCTGCCCAGAGACCAGCCTGCTTATTAATATGTATAATAAATGAGGTAACCCTGTATCTAAAGCGTATAAATTCGCTTAGTTTTGCACTTTCAAGTTGAGCAAGTTTGTCCAGCACGAGCTGGCTTGCTCCCAACATTGAATAAACAAATGCCTTGCTGCTTAAAGATAAAAGAATGTCTCTGAGCAGTCTTTGGGGTCGATTGTTCGGATTCACTGGTCACGTGCAAACAGGTGAGTGGTCAGTGCCCATGCCTGGCCATGCCAGGAGGTGACAGCAAGGACAGTTTGCAAAGAACAAATTTAGATAGGGTGCCTTTGTTGGAATCGAGGGGGCCATTGTGACACCAGAGAAAGTCAGGGAATCAATGAGCTGTTGTGACACTTCAGGGTCTCCTGGAACCAAAGGAAGCCTGGGACAGTTTGGAACCTCATGGAGTCAAGGGCCTACTGAGACCCTGCAAAGCTCATGGAAGCAGAGGAATTCTGGGAGAGTGTGGAACTTCCTGGAATCAAAGGGCCATTGTGACACTGGAGGGCCTCATGGATCTGAAGGAAAGCTGGGAGACTGCAGAATCTCCTGGAATCAAGTGGCCAGTGTGACACGGGGGACCTCATGGAACCAAAGGAACCCTGAGACAGTTTGGAACTTCATGGAATCAATGGACCATTGGGACACTGGGGAACCCCATGGAATTGTGTGGCCATTGTGCCATTGCAGGGCCTCCTGGAATAAAATGAAACCTGGGACACTGGGAAACCACGTGGGAGCAAGGGGTGCCTGTGACCCTGCAGGACCTGATGGAACCAAGGGAAGCCTGGGACACTGAGGAAACTCGTGGAACCAAGTGGCCTTTGTGACCCTGCAGGATTGCACGGAATCAACAACCCATTGTGACACTGCAGGGCTTCATGGAACCAAAGGAATCCTTGGACACTGTGGAACCTCATAGAAACAAAGGGCCACTGTGACACTGGAGAACCTCATGGAATCAAGGGGCCATTGTGACACTGCTGGGCCTTGTGGATCCAAAGGAATCTTGGGATGCTGTGGAACCTCCCAGAATCAAGGGGCCGTTTTGGCACCGTGGAACCTGATGGAATCAACAGTCCATTGTGACTGTGCAGGGCCCAGGGAAGCAAAGGAATCCTGGGATACTGTGGAATCTGACAGAATCAAGGGACCGTTGTGACCCTGCGGAGTCTCACGGAGATGAAGAAGCCCTGGGAGACTGGAACCTCATGGAATCAAGGGACCGTTGTGGCAGTGCAGGTCCTCATGGAAGCAAGGGCAAATGGGGACCCTGTGAAAACTCCTGGCATCAAGGGGCCATTTGGACATGCAGGGCTTCCTAGAAGCAAAGGAAGGCTGGGACGTTTGGGATGGTCCTGGAATCGAGGGGCCATCGGGACACTGCGGAACCTCCTGAAAGCAGAGGAACCCTGAGACTGTGCAGAACCTGAGGGCAGAAAGGAGCCCTCGGGACACTGCAAAGCCTCGTGGAATCGAGGGGCCACTGCTTCACATCTGGGTCTCATGGAACCAAAGGAAAGCTGGGACACTGGGGAAACTCCTGGAAGCAGGGAGACCCTGGGACACTGTGGAGCCTCCCGGAATCAAGGGGCCATGGGGACACTGCAGGACCTTGTGGGGCCAAAGGGACTCTGGGCTGCTGCAGAACCTCACGGAGGGGGGAAGCTGCTGTGTGGGGCCCCCCCGACGAGTGGCTGAGGCTGCTGCAGCAGAAGGGGAGTGAAGCCAATTTGCAGAAGTGGAAGCCGTGGGCAACGGCACTGAGCCCCCTTGCCACGGTCAGTTACCATGGCAACCATCCTACGCTCCCGTCGTGTGCTGGGTTAAAAGTAAACCGGAGGGAGAAATGAACCCACGCGAGGGATTACAAGTCAGACTCACAATTTCCTGAGAAGATGACAAGAAATACAATGGTACAGAGAAAACTGGTTCTAACCCACACAAATAGCTGTATAAGCCAGCAGCCTGGGACAAGAAGAGAACAGTGCTGAGCACCACGTGGGCCCCAGGGTGCAAAGGAAAAGGAAAGGAAACGCTGTTGGTGCAGATGATGGTGGCAGCTGTGTTGAGGTAATGATGGCAGTCCTGTGGAGAGTTCCAATCCCAGTCCTGTTGGAGTTCTGCTCCTCCTCTCCATGCCACGAGTGGTAGCAGAAGTGCCCAAAGCCCAAGAGTAAATGTGCTCAGGTTCAGGTGGGGATGTGCAGCACCTCCCCCAGGGCAGGGAGTTTGACAATGGGCGATTGAACTCTGTGAGTCACGGGGTATTTCTGGAGTGTGTGATGGTCTGGGTGTTGCAGCTGCCTGTTCTGCCAGTCCAAGGCGGCCCATTGGCAGAGATGACCCCTCAGGCTGGGGGTGAAGGTGCTAATGCCTCCCCGGAGGGGAGTTCTGGCAGCAGAGTCCTGGGTGTGAAGGCAAAGGAACACTCCTTGCACAGTTCTTTCATGGCCAGCTTGTAGGCTGAGGTGTCAGGTGGGCCCTGGGCAGCTGCTGCAAAGGATCCATTCTTAGGAGTCCCTCAGAAATGCCCCAGAGGGTGTAAAATACACAGTTTTGGTGGCACCCCCCAGTGATAAACTGGTCCCGGCCCCTGCAACTAGGAGAGATTGCTGGGGTTGGTTACCATGGCAACCATCATACACTCCCATTGCTATGGTCAGTTACCATGGCAACCATCCTACATTACCATTGCTCCAGTCAGTAACCATGGCAACCATCATACCTCCCACTGCTATGGCCAGTTACCATGGCAACCATCACACATAACCATTGCTCCAGTCAGTTACCATGGCAACTATCACAAATTCTCACTGCTACATTTGGTTACCATGGTAACTATGATACTTCCCACTGCTACCATGGCAACTCTCATACATTCCCATTCCTACGGTCGGTTACCATGACAACCATCATACATTCCTGTTGCTACAGTCGGATACAATGGCAACCATCGTACATTCCCACCGGTGCAGTCAGTTACCATGGCAACCATCATCCATTCCCATTGTTGCAGTCAGTTACCATGGCAACCATCACACATTTCCATTGCTACAGTCAGTTATCATGGCAGCCATCGCGCATTGCTACTGCTACTGTTGGTTGCCATGGCAACCATCACACATTCCCATTGCAATGGTCAGTTACCATGGCAACCATCACGCATTCCCATTGCTACGGTCAGTTACCATGGCAACCCTCACACATTCCCATTGTCATGGTCGGTTATCGTGGCAACCATCATACATTCCCATCGCTATGGTGGGTTACCATGGCAACCCCCATACAGTCCCATTTGTTACGGTCAGTTACCCGGGTAACCATCACATTTTCCATTGCTACTGTCAGTTACCATGGCAACCATTATATATCCCACTGCTACGGTCAGTTACCATGGCAACTATCATACATTCCCATTGTAACGCTCAGTTACCATGGCAACCATCATACTTCCAACTGGTTCAGTCGGTTACCATGGCAACCACCATACAGTCACCTGGCTATGGTCAGTTACCATGGCAACCATCATACGTCCCACTGCTACAGTCAGTTACCATGGCAACCATCATACACTTGTGTTGCTACGGTCGGTTACCATGGCAAACAGCAAACATTCTGGTTGCTATGGTCAGTTACCATGGCAACCAGCATACATTGGCATTGCCCATGTCA